TTGTGAAGTTATTGGCCTAATTGCCTTTTTACATTGCTGAATTTTTTAACACTTTGAAAATAGCTGAAATTGACTTTTATTATTGGAGATTTGTATATTTTACCTCCTTATCCTCATCCTTACTTTGGTGACCTTAACTCCTTGTCAAGACTTTTTGGACTCTTTGTCCTCTCTGCTTCTCAAGAAGAACCTGCCTGGAAACCTGAAAACCTGGAAGGATTTCTCAAGCAAGAAACCAAGCTGTCTGTTCTCAGTAGAACTCTGGTGAACCAACTCAGTCTGAAACCTGCGCGCCCGCTCTCAGTAGGAGCTGAGAGAGAAACTCTGAACCTACTCTGTAAACCTAACTGCTCTGCCCTGCCTTTGCCAAGCCCTCTGCCTGCCTTCAGCCTCTGGACCCCCCTTCTACCGCTCTGCTCAAACTCTGATCAGGTATAGACCTGCAAACACACAACCTGCAAGTTCACTGGATGAATGCTAACCAACCTGTCCCTCTCTTCAGTAAACCAGTTGTGACCAGACCCGGACCCGATTTATCCCTGAACCATTTCACTTTATTGTGAACTGTTCAATAAACTTTGTGAACTTTTTCCCTGCCTCTGAGTGTTCTGCATGTGGGTTAGATCCCCGAAAGCCACCATGACATTATACTTTTTAAGTGTTGTCTAATGATAGCCATGGATGGCAAGTCACTTTATTTTATTAGTCACTTTTCGACTTATGAAGACCAACATTTACTCCCCATTTTGGGGGAGTATAGTGTATACTTAAGGGAAACAGGATGTTATTAAAAACTACATGTTTTAGAGACCAGGTTTAAAACGTGAAAGTGTAAATTAAAATTATGCCTTATTTATATTTTGAATTCTTATTCATTGTTAGGCATACTGTCAATTGTTGCACATGTGATTTAAAAGAGATAGATAGACGAAGCAAGAAGCAAGACTACCTGACCTGAATAGGCAAACCAAACAAAAAACAAAAACAAAACACCTACTTCCAAATGTATAGTCTAAGTGAAGCTTTCAAATCTTAAGACCGACTGTCGTGCATGGTGGTGGCTGCATGGTCATGTGTGGATGAGGTTGGAGGACCCGAATGTAAAATGTAGTAGAGGGTAGATTCATTTCTTTAATGAAGAGACTGGGGGGGTCACAAAGCTGAAAGGCAGGGAACCGATCAGAGTAATGTTGATACGGGGAGCAAAAATAACTGAGAATGGAGAGGGATTATTCTAACCGATGGATAAAATTGATTCTGCTGGCCGCTACGTTTAAAACATTATGAAATCTCTATGATAATGTTTCCTCCGGATTATTATCTCTATCTTTTGGCTAAAATATCAAATCAATGTGTGGATAACTAACAGTGAAGCGTGAGCCTCGAACATGTGACAGCAATTGGTTATATTAAAGCGCCATCTTGTGGACTAAGGTGTCACTACGCCGAACCGATGGGTTTCGATTTCCTCAAGTGTCGCGATGTTTTAAGTCGCACCAGAAGTTTCCGTGTACTGAAAAACAAAACAAATGTCAAAGGGTTGTTTTTTTTCTGTTGTTTATGTTGTGAACAAAAATGAATCAAAATAGGTGGGATTTAGAAAACGTGGGTTTCTTCCGTAAATCTATTTAGCCATTTAAGTTTGTAACTTCTTCATCAGTAAATGAGCAGCGCGGTGACTCATTGACAGGAGCGCTCTCTACTCCCAGCATTTCTACCATTCTTCTTAGGTTACTGGCCCCGGCCTGATGTCAGCGATTAAGCAGCGATAAGTAAACAGGAACTGTTTATGTGAACCAAAGAAAATCAGCTGGAATCGGTTGTTCATTCTCCTCTACTTCTGATATTAGGCCAATCCGCATGGAGCCAACAAATCTCCAGGTACGAAGTAAAACTTTCTTTAAAAAAGGACTATCAGCTTCATGGTTTCATTTTGACATCTGTACGATTGCCTTCAAATAAAACTTCCACTGTCGCTCACTTTGTTCACCTGTGTTAATGTATGACTGAAGCTGAATTATAAACATGTTCTGTCCTCACTGCGGTTTCTGATGGTATGAAACAAGTTCTTAGATCAGGTAACTGATTTACAGCACAGGAGATAGTATAGTCAGTGGGCTGTTTTAAGCAGAAAATATAGTCATCAAGTTGAGTTTCTTGTTGTCATTTTTTTGTTTTTTTTAAACAACCCTTTTAATCGTCACTTTGTATATCTACCCAGGGGCGGAGCTAGATGGTGGGGCCAGAGATGACCCTTTGCCAATCATTTTTTCCCCTTCTTATGCTGCGTTCACAGCAAACGCAGCAGGAGCAGCAAAAACGTGTCTCCTGCTTTATTTTTGATGCTTGTACAAGTTTTGTCCTGACATGGAAAAAGTGGGTCTGACACGCGTCGGGCGGAGCTGCCCTATCCTTTCTTTGCCTGGCAGCTATATATGCTGTGATCAGTGGTAAAAAAAAAGTAGTTTTAATATGTTTTTTAAGTGGGAAAATCCACCTAAAAACTTAATCAGTTCAGTCAGTTCTCTCAGATTACCATCCTGCCTTCAAATATTATTTCTCTGTCGGAGCCGCTCAGACCCCCCAGATACCAGCGTTGCTTTGTCAGTAGGAACCCCATCCAACAGCAGCCTCTGCCCCGGTTGCCTTCTCGCGGTTTGGCTCAGCGGCTGGAAGGCGTTTTTTTATGTATGTAATCCAAACTGCAGGCACCAGGATAATAAAAGCAAACATGTTTTGCCGGCAAGTTTCAGCACTTTAAGTTAATTTAGGCGTTAATAAACTGTTTCAGAGGAGTGATCATAGTGATCTGTATAATCAGCGATGTGTCTGTCTCCCTGCCAGCTCCCAGATCAGCTTCTCTGATTGGTTGATGTGGCACGTCGAGCAGCAAAAGTTCAATTTTTCCATCTCGAGCAGCAGCTGCGTTGCGGGGCGCATCAGATGCTTCAGCTGCTCAGACGCGCTGTGCCTGCTACTTAAAACAGGCTGCGGGACATTTTGCTGCGCCTTGACACGCGTCAACCATTGACTTTGCATATAAACTAGCTGCTCCTGCTGCGTTTGGTGTGAACGCAGCTTAGTAACAGAACTCGTACAGATTAACAGCATTGCATATTTGCAATGATATTGCTGTGACCAAAAAAAAAGACTTATGATTTGTATGTGCTTGTTAAAGAGTCTGTTGACAGAAATCATACAGGGGATGCCTTCTGCCAATATACTCCTCTCACCCACCTCCTCAGTGAGGTCCAGAGGCTGGTCCAGGACAGAGCTGGCTGTTCTAAGGAGCTGCTTTATTCTCTGACTGTCAGATTTAGTGTTAAAACTCCAGCAGACCACAGCATAAAGAAACTGCAGATGCCACCAGGTGTCATAGAATGATTTTTTTTTAAAGGGGTCATAGAATGATTCTATAGGGTATTTGGTGCTGGTCCTTAAGCTCTCTGAATAGGGTGTGTAACATTGGTTGGACTGATAATGGCATATTTGCTGTTCTATGAGCCCTAATGCAAGCCTGGTTAAAAGCCCTATAATGAAATGACAGGTTTTCTTCCTTTTATGGTATGATCATGAATATTTAGATGAGCTGTGCGCCGATTGGTTGGTTTACAACGAGCGAAGCTGCTGAGTAAAGACGCATCATAGTAACAAGCACTCACTCAGTGAAACATTGAGATTGTTGATATGGAAGGGTGACATGACGTCCTCTTTTTCCCAAACATGTCCTACTTTTCATTCCTAAAAAAATGGCCAGGGGGAATTTCAAAATCATCTGGGATTTTGGTCGACTACAGTGCAGCACGTAGTCGAAACACCGGGCATTCGAACCGAGCCGTCAGCTCCGGGGCTGGTCTGGGAACCCCAGCAGAGGGGGGCAGGGAGCCAGCGGAGGACAGAGCGACCGAACCCAACCCCGTGATGGTAGCCTGGACACAGGCGGCCCTGTGCTTCCCCCTGCCTGCATTACCGGACCCCCAGCCCTCATGGCTCTCTGCTGAGGTCCGGGTGCAGTCAGTGGCTCAGCAGTCAACACTAAAATGCTTCTTTTTTTTGCACCATTTTTTTTCTCCCACAATGTTTACAATTGATCACTGCTGCATTTTAAGAAAATGGAACTGTCATTAGAGCTGTACAAAACAAAATGTCATTTTTATACACTCTTTGTATACAAAGTTACCATGAATCCCGTTGCTGCTTCTCTGATTGTTACTTTCTTTGGGTATTGGAGTGATATACCTATTCATTTGACTTGTAGTTTAACTTCAGGTAGATTTTATTTTTTCTTTTCTTCAAATGAGCTATAGCATTACATTTTGGCACTATTCAAAATGACCAAAACTGACAGTAGAAGCAATGATGCTTCAGAGGTGAAACCTAAGGCTAATAGGTTTGAACAAAAATTCCAAGAGTTAATGCTGAAAGTTTTTCAACGAGCACAGAGGAGGTATAACATAGATATTGGAAAAATAATTATAAATCTGCATCTGAAAGTAAGTGAACAAGAAGACAGCAGGTAGTAATAAAATAAGATATACAGA